AATAAATCATGGTGCTTTTCTGAACATATTCTATTACCTAACTTCAAAATTATGAAATTATTTAAAACATTATATTCATTATGTTATTATCTAGTACAGCAAGGAGCTGCAGAATGCCAGATTTATTTTTAAACTTTGCACTCTTGTGGTAGAGCTTCATGTACAAGGGACACATACCAGAAACTCAACAGACTTTAGCAGGTTCCTCAAGATTTCATATATGACTAAGGTCTGTTACATTTCTTGCCCAAATTTTCAGCATTTGCTCTTACTATGAAATGTTCTGTACAGCACAGATTTCACCTATGTTGCTAATCAGAAGCTTTTTTTTAAACTAATAACTGCTACTTTGAGTGTGAGCCATATTTTGCATCACTACATTGGACACAAAGTGGGTTGTAGCTGAACCATCGAGCTTTATTTTTAAAAGTTTACGGACTTTGAATGCACTGAGCAGCTGCTCAAGCAATTAAATATCTATTTAAGTGTTATACGGCAGAGAAAGAGGCCATTCAACTCATTGTGTCAGTGCTAATTTTGAGAGATCTTTCAAATTAGTCCCACTCCCCTGAATTTTTCCACAGCCCTGAAACACATTTTCACATATCCAATTCCCACTTGGAAGCTCCTGTAGCAATATAGTTCCACCACTCTTTTGTGCAGTGCATTACAGAACAACTTCACATGCAAAACCATAAGCTAAAGAGTCAGGCATAGAAGAATACTGTTCATTTTCATTGGCTCACTGGAGGGGTAAAAGCATGGTACAAGTGATTGTGTTCAAAGTGCATTGCCTTGGCGGTAAGCTATTAATGACACCGTTTGTTTCAATGTAAAGCTTGTTGCAGCTTATACACACAGTTAATTGCTTCTAATGTTCCTTTCTAGAGGTTTTAAAGAAAGCTTTGATCAGAAATAATGATTTCCCATTGAGAATAGAATCAATATTGATTTTTTTTCAATTTATGTTTACCAAAGATGATAATATACTTGATGTCCAGTGCTCATAACATGATAAAGTGGCTAAAAGTACTCTAATATATGGGGAGGGAAAGATAGACAATGACTATTGTTTGCTCTTCTAATTAAAGACTGACAGAACTACCAGTACTGAACACAAATGGTTTTGGTTTAGAGATCTAAATAACACACCCCAGAAAACAGATTTTTAACTTCAATACTTATCCTGGGCAAAAGATGATTGGTTTACTAATGGATATTCAATCAAAACCATACTTTGGATCAGACATTATTAAATCTCATTACTGTGGCACAGGACAACTTTCATCACATTGCATCATTTTCTTCGACTGACACCATCGAAATCTCATTCCCAAACAGATTGAGATGTGCCATTCTTGGATTCTTGTTGCAAAGTAAAACTGGAGACTGGAAATGAATAAAAGGTAGAAATTCCACATCAGTGGATCCTGCCCACTCTGCAACCTAATGCCAATTTTTATCCTCAGGATTGATGGCTTAAGAATATCCACCTACAGCAGCGGTTTCTTCATGTGTAGAGTAAGGAGAGTGTGCATGTCATTTGCTGCCATGTGAAAGCAGCATCCAACAATCCTGGTGATTATTAGGTACATTGAATAGACTGAAAAGAAGTATCATACCCTGAGGTAGTAGGAACTGCAGATGCTGGAGAATCTGAGATAACAAGGTGTAGAGCTGAATGAACACAGCAGGCCAAGCAGCCTCTGATTCTGCTTCGCCTGCTGTGTTCATCCAGCTCTACACCTTGTTATATCATACCCTGAGGTATATTTCAACCATTCTAAAACAGTTCCTCATTTATTTTCTACCGTCATTCAGATTTTCAGACGTATTGGAACAACTGTTCTGGTGTTTCTTTTTCCTTCAGATAGCTCTCAGTTGCACTAATGGTCTACCTAATTTGAATCCTCCTATTTGTTCCAGTTGGAAGAAGGTGACAACCAACTGAGATCTCTCAGTTCTGTCAGTTGCAAGGAAATGCACTATGCATGCTTATCAGAAACCAGACAGTCACATCTACTAACAGAAGTAAATCTATCAACTTTGGCAAATGTTGCATTGGAATATCTTTTGTTTCACAAAATAACATACACAATAGCTCTACTGAAATATATCAATGCTCAAGTATTTTGAATGCTTCCTTGGACTCCCTTCTTCCAATCACAGCAACACTGCAAAAAATGAATGGCACAGGATCTTTATTGGTTGAAATTACTAAGAAGCATCAACATTTTCCTTTGGTTTGACACATAAACCTGCAATGTTGCTTATTACCCAGCCCTCAAGCAAGCAATCATAGGAGGCCATTTGGTCCATCAGACCAATGCAAGATTAGCTCATCTAATCCCATTCTGCTGCATCTTCCTAGTAGCCCTTAAAGCTAATGAAGTCCTCTTCTGAAAGTTCTAATTGCATCCGTCTCAGACAGTGCATGCCAGATAAAACTACATGCTGTATAAAAATAATTTTTACCTCATGTAGCCTCTGGCTCTTCATCCTTTTGCTAGTGAGAATAGCTTCCTGATGATTTTGAACATTTCTGTCAAATTTCCTGTCAAACTTCTTTTCTATAAAGAAAACACTACTAGCTTCTGCAATTGATCCATATAACTCAAGGCCCTTAGCTCTAGAAAATTTCTGGGCCATCTTTTCAACATATTCTAAATCTTTCATGTCGTTCCTAAAATAAGTATACAGAAGTCCTTCAGCCTCCAACTGAAGCGAAACAAGAGGTTCACAAATGTTTGTCATAATTTCTTTGCTTTTGCATGCTAAGCCTCCATTTATAAAGTTCAGGATTCCTTCTAATCACTTGCTCAACCAGACCTCCCACCTTAAATGATTTGTGCACATACACACTCCCACTCTTGAGGTATCTGTATTCTTGCAACCCTTTGGAATGTTACATCCGTCTGATGACTTTTCTTGCATGTGTGGATCTCCAAAATGAGACATTTCTTGAAGTTCCGACATGGAACAGGATATATGCACTCTTGGACGGAGTCTATTACAGGTTTCGAAGGAAGGTTAAATAAACTGGACAGAAATAAAGTAAGGCTGTGTTTGCTGACACCTTGAATCATGTGACATCCCTGAATTAACTTGAAATAAAGAGCATTTAAAACCTTATTAAACATAGAAATGAGAAGAAAAGAATATGGAAAAATCTGAAACAAAATGCAATATTTTTGTTTTAAGAATTAGCATGATATTGTGCTTCCTAATAGGAATTTATCATTGTACTGTTGGCACCATCAGACACTTTCATAAAGACTTATATAATTTAAAAACCTCTGACACTACTCACAGATCGTTTCCTCGTGCTGATGATACCGATTTGTTTTCCTCTCTCTCCCTGACTTTCACCCTCACTCTGCACCATAGCTTTATTCCCATACTTCTAACCTTCAGCTCTCTGGTCAACCAAACACCGATTGCTGCACTACAATACTTGCAACACTCTCTCTATCTCCCATTAATTCCTAAATTGTATTGAATCTATACAAAAAAAATTGAAATAATTACACAGGTTCCCTGACTCTCAATGAACAGGAATTACATGTTTTCTAACTCCAACAGGAAGAAGTGCACATCAAGGAGCGTATTGCCATGAATTGATGTTATGTACAATCGTCAGGGAGAAATTTGCATGTGACATGAGTTAACCAGTAAATCCACATGAATTTCCAGCTGAGGTACAGTGTTTCAGTTAACTTCATAAGTAATAATCATATAAATCATTTAAGATTCATTTCTTATTTGTTCATATTCAAAAACAATAGTCAGGTTAAAAAGAAAAATAGTTTCACACAAGCAGGTCCAATCAGGATGCTGACATGGCAAACAGAGAGAATATTGCAGCACTGCCCTGAGGCCTTATTTGCAAATGGAATGTGAGGATGACCCCAAACCACACCAAGAAAGATAAAGCAACGGGATTTGGTCAAGGATGGGAATAAAGCACAGACTTCGGAGAGGAGACAGGATGGCACCTAGAAAAATAGGAGTGGTGGGATCAGGGGTAACAGGTGCCCTGCTTCTTTTGAAGCATGTGAAAAACCAGGCGTTTATCTAAAATAGACCACTTCAGAATTCAAATAATTTACTGCCTACTTGACTGACAATGTATAATTATCTGACGAATCTTCGTTGAGTTACGGTGCTACCTCAGAGTCTTTTTTGTGGTTTACTCTCCCATCATTGGCTCAATAAATAATCATTGACATGTACTTCAAGATTGCTGGGATTATTTTGTAAAATATTCTAACCAAACTCAGCTTTCAAACAGATTCTGCCCTGACAAAGGAACTCCTTTAGTTCAACAAATTTTGAGGTGACTTTGACTATGGTTGCTGTTTCTTATTCTTCCACAGGATGTGAGCATCACTGATAAGGCCATCCCATCCCTAAATCACTTTGAAAAAACGGTGGTGAGCTGCCTTCTTATTTCATCTGGTCCAAATGCACACTCAGGGGAGTCAAGAAGGCAGTTTCAAGTTTTTGACCCAATAACCATGAGGAACAATTGTGTAATTCCAAATCAGAATGGTGTGGGGCTCGGAAGGGAAGTTGCAGGTGCTGGTCTTTGCAAAACCAGCAATATTAATTGAACTGCCCATTAGGAATCTCTCCCAATTCTCATCTGCAGTGACTTCTGCAAAATCTGTACTGTTCGTCAATCAAAAAACAAGTTTGTAATTCACACTTATCATACACTCTTCCACATTGACAAAGGTTTGACAGGAAATATTTACACTAGGTAAACGTTTACACACCATGTTGGGAAAAACAGCAATTTGTAAAAGGTACAACTTTTGACTGTAATGGATAGAACGATTAGAATTTAGTCACTCTGATGCTTCTATGCATTTCTCATCAGTTGATTACAGAGAGAAGAAAGTTTCCAGCCTGAACTATCAATTAAGAAGGGAGTTATGTTGTGGGACATACTCCAACACAAAGGTAACTAGAAAATGTTCATAAGCATTCATCAACACTTCAGATCACATGATGCCTTTATTCAATCACTTGTTTTGCTAGACCATAAGTCATCTTGATTCATGTTAAACAACATTTAAATGGCACAGAAAATACATCACAATAACTAATTTACTATACCATTCATCCTAAACTGAAAGACTATTCTTCTGTTGATTGCCCTGCTAGATTACCCTTAGACAAACTCAGAACACATTTTTACTTTAAAATAGTCATCTCTCCAAGTACATTATCGCTAATACTGCTTCAGCTATCAGCAGTAGTGATTCATCATTTAAACTAGATACAAGAAGTTGCAAAGCTTTATTTAAACTAGCTGACTAACATTTGTGGAAGGAATTTTTAGAATGTCCCATTTAGCATAAAAAAACTGTATTTGGTCCTGATTTATATATTTCCCAAATATATCAATGTTCTATTACTGAATGGGTGTAATGAACTAATTTACATATCGTAAACATTACTAATCCTTACTTTTAAAAAAAAATCAGTGATCTACATTGACCGTTACATACAAAAGTAAACCACTTAAAAACATCTGAATGTAAAAGCTCTGGCAAAAGAATCAATTTTGGAAAAAAAGGGATTGTTCAGCTGTCAACAGAATTACAAGCAAACAATAAATACAATGTGCTTTCTTCATATTGACATATTTACACTTGTCTTTGGCTTATAACAAAAGTTACACTTCAAATTATCTGGTGTGATCCAGCAGGTTGCACTTTAAACTTTAATAAGCCAGTCCAAATATTTGCACATTTACTGTGGCAGCATGCAAAAGCAGTTCACATTGCTGCACACATTTCTACTTTTTCAAAAAAAAACTTGATTTAAAACAAATTGTAGCATCAATGTGTACAAATCTGTGCATGCAAACCAACAGATTGGTAGTACTAAAAAAAATACAAAAAAAAACTGTTGTTGACTAACACTGAAGTATTTTTAACCTCTTACTGAACAGTGAAATCTGTACCCAGATTACATTGTTATGACGGTATTGAATGCTTTCTGGTTAATAGTTTGGATAAATATTGTGTTAAAACAGAAGCAGAATATTTAAGATAATGAAAACCAATTCCCTCACTTAAATGTATACTCTTCATGCACAGGTTCAGTGACAATTTACTTCTTAAAAAAAATGCACAATTTTTCAAAGATGTAATTGTAGTCACTATGAAGATTCAAGATATTCCAAAGCAACATCATAACAGAATCGATATTGTTCCTGAGGGAGGGTGGAGGGAAGAGAAAAAAAGGAAACAATCAGCTTTCTCAATTCTTAAACTTAAACATAACAAATAAAATCAGCAGAAAATGCAGTTGTTTAGGTTACATTTGTGTCTTAAATATCCTAACCAGAAAGATCATAGCTACCTTACTGCTATAAGTTCGATAACTTTCAATCACATTTGCTGGCGCAAGCTGCATATTTATTTCACACAAATAAGGCAGACAGCATCAGACTTGCCAACACTAATGAGAGCTATGTATAGTGATGTTTAAATTGTGAAGAAATTTTAGTGCTTAATTACAGCAATATTATAAACATGTAATTTTATAACTATGAGCCGAAAAATACATATTTAACAATTTGCTAAACACAGCCACTAAGAAATCATGTTGATTAAGATATTCAAATTCATTTTTAAAATTAAACTATGTCTAAACAATACACTTCAGCTGCAGAAATGTTAAGGCAGTTTATGATCACACAATAATCTTTAATTGTTGAGTCAGTCCCTGAGAAACCACTTCAAAGTGTTCATTTTCTTGGGGCCCATTTTTATTTATCTCATCTCCCATAAACAAAAATGCAGTCTTTCTCAGTCACTCCAATAATGTAATAGGATTGAACTTCAACGCTCAGTCTCATAACTAATTAGTAAACTGGCTATTGGAAGCAGTTTTCAACCAATCAGGGACCAGATTTTACAGACATGTGTTTTTCTCTCCAAAATGGGCAAGGTGATAGGTGACAGGTGACAGCAAAATTAGGTGACAGCAAAATTGGTCAGATTTAAGTTGAAAATAGCTAATCAAAGAAATAACGTAAAAGAAAATCTAAAACAGTAATGTTCCCGATGAACTGAACAGAAAAGATGGGAGAAAAGGGCAAGAAAGTGGATAGATAAAAGTGGAGTTATAAAAGTTTTTAAAAAGTCTTTTTCAATAACTAATGGTCATTTATTAGAATATTCTGGTAACAGGACTCTGTTTAATTCCAACAAAATCAATGCAATATGAGATGCAAAACCAAAATACTGCAGATACTGGAAATCTGGAATAGAAGAAAATGCTAGGGAAACTCAACAATATGCCAGCATCTGATGGAGAAAGAAATTGTGTTAGCATGTGAAACCTAATATGCCTCTTTTCCAGAACTGAAGAACAAGGTGGAAAATTTATGGAGCTTACACTGTCAAAAAAGATGGGAAGGAGCAAGTGAAACAGAAGGCATATTGAGGGGAAGGTTAGAGGGTGGGGGATTAGAGATAACAGGTGTCACAGAAGAAAAGGCAAAGGAAGTGGTAGTGGTTACACAGAAACATGAGAGGTCCAGAGAAGGTGTTAATAATTGGTTATAATTACAGAATATAGGTCATGTCTGCTGAATGCAAAAATTTAAAAAAAAATCAGTAGGGGAATCGCATATTGTAAGGCAGGGGAAGCAAAATGAAGTGCAGAATTCAGTGTTGAGCTCAAAAGTCTGCAAAGTGTCTAAACAGAAAATTACATTTTTTTTAACCAAATTGCATGGGGTTTCACTGGAACACAGCAGCAGACCTTTGGCAGAAACAGGAGCATGAGTGCGAGAGAGTGCTCTTGAAATGGTGATCAGAAGGTCAGAGTCAGGCTCACAGAGTGAGCAGAGGTGTTCAGCAAAGCAGTCAATGAATCTGCATTTAGTCATCTCAGTGAAGAGAAAACCACATTTTGAGCAGTAAATACAGTAGACTAGATTGAAGGCTGTTCAGACAAATCAATGCTTCACCAGGAAGGGAGTATTTTGGGCCTTGGACAGTGTGGAGGGAGGATCTATAAGAGAAAATGTTACACGCCCTGTCATTGCATGGGAAGATGCCGTGGAAGAGGAATGTGTTGTTCAGGGTGATAGAGGAGTGGACCATTGTGACATGGATGTAACAGTTCCTTTGGAATGCTGGTGAAGAAACAGAGGATTTATTTAGAGCAAAACAGAGGAGGGCAGAAGTGTGGCAAATAGCTTGGATACTGTTGAGGGTCCGGTCAACCACAGTGGGTGGGAATCCTCAGGTGAGGAAAATACAAGCTATGTTGTAAAAGGTAATGTCATCAGAACAGGTGTGTTGGAGAGATACAGAAACTGAGAGAATGGGATGGCGTCCTTACAGGAAACAAGGTGTGAGGAAAGGTAGTTGAGGTGCCTGTAGAAGTCAGTGAGTTTGTAAAGATTGTGAGTAAACAGCCTATCCAAGGAAATAGAGATAGAGAAGTCAGGGACAGGAAGAATCAGATTGATTAGATGAAGGTGAGAGTAGGGTAGAAATTGGGAGCAAAATTGACTATTTCCAGTTCCGGTTGAGAGCAAAGCTGCACTAACACAGTCACAATGTACCAGAGAGAGGATGTGAGAGGATGCCCAAGTAGCACTGGAATCAGCGGAAAGGAAAGTTCCAGAAACTCCCTAAAAAGACAGGCATAACCAGGGCCCATCCCAGGCACCCATAGCAAACCTTCCATGTGGTGAAACTGAAACAAGTCGAAGAAAAAATTATTCAATGAGAAAACAATTTCAGCCAGGCAGAAGAAAGTGGTAGTGAATGAGGACTGTTTGGGCCTCTGTTCAAGAAAGAATCAGAGAGCCCTCAGACCACCACTAAATTTGTCAAATCATCACAATCTCAGATTAGGATCTGGAAATCACTACCTGAGATTGTGATGATTTGACAAACTTAGTTGTGGTCTGAGGCTCTTTCTTGAACTGAGGTTCTGAGGAAGGGGCACCGGACCCAAAACGTTAACTCTGTTTTTTCCTTCACAGATGCTGCCAGACCTGCTGAGCTTTACCAGTAACTTTGTTTTTGTTCCTGATCTGCAGTTCTTTCGGTTTTTATTAGAGAATCAGGGGACCTTGGTGTGTATGTCCATAGATCCTTGAAGGCAGCAACACAAGTAGATATAGTAGGAACTGCTGATGCTGGAGAATCTGAGATAACAAGGTGTGGAGCTGGATGAACACAGCAGGCCAAGCAGCATCAGAGGAGCAGGAAAGCCGATGTTTCAGATCCAAAACGTCAGCTTTCCTGCTCCTCTGATGCTGGTTGGTCTGCTGTGTTCATCCAACTCTACACCTTGTTAAGACAAGTAGATAAGTTGTTTAAGAAGGGACACTTGCCTTCATTAGTAACAGCATTGAATATAAAAACAAGGTAGTTATGATGGAGCTGTATATAACATTAATTAGGCCTGTTTGCAGTTCTGGTCACTGCACTATAGGAGGGACAAGTCTGCACTAGAGAGGGTGTTGAGGAAATTCACCAGGATGTTGCCTGGGCTGGAATGTATCCACTATGAAAAGAAATTAAATAGACTGGGGCTGTTTTCCTTGAAGCAGGAAGGCTGAGGGTGGGAGGGCCAGGGTAAACTCTTCTCCTTAGAAGAATGGTCATACAAAGGGGCAGAGTTTTAAAGAGACAGGAGGTTTAGAGGTGATTTGAGGAAATCCTTTTTAACCCAGAGCATATGGGGTATCTGGAGCTCCATGCCAAAAAGAGAGGTAGAAACAAGTACCTTCAAGACATTTCAGATCGATTTAGATAAGCCCTTGAAATGCCATAGCTATAAAGGATAGGGGCCAACTGCTGGAAAATGGGATTAGAATAGATGGATATTTGCTGACTCACACAGACACAATGGCTGAAGGACTCTTTCTGTGCTGTGAAATCTCTGACTTGATGATACCTCTCTGCATTTAATTTATCTGCCAATATTGATCTATTTCACCAGTCTATGTGCCCTTGAATTCGATCACCGTCCTCACAATTCACCAAACTTTCAAGGTTGTCACCGGCAGGTTTTGTAATTGCTCCCTAGGCACCCAAGCATAGGACGTTAATCTAGATGAAGCAAACCGGTGATCCTGACACAGATTCCTGGGGAACGCTGGTGCATTCCTAGCTCCAATCTGAGAAACCACTGTTGGCCGACTAGATTCTGTCTCCTGTCATTCAGCCAACGTCAACTCCATATTGCCATTGTCCCTTTTATTTCCCCTACATGGCATAATTTTGCTTTTGTATTACAGTTGAAAACAAACAATTGTGACTGTATCCTGTAGAACATACCGTCAGGAGTCAAAAAAAAAATCTATAAAATCAGCTTAAAATGAAAGCAAAAAGTGCCATCAAATTGAATATCTGGCCGTGGGCAAAGCACAGCTTTCAATTAGGTCATATTTTTAAAAATAAATAGAAACAAAACATGGGCTTTATTTTTTTTGAACACTGGTTAAAAATACTATAACAAGTTGTAAGTAACAATGAACTATTGTTGCAGTAATCAGAATATAAAACTAACTTGGCTGAGCTAACGTGTAACATTTTGTTTAAGGCGATGCAAAACATTTCTGGAAAGGATGTGGTTGGGGAGAACCTCTGGGGCTAATTGCGCACATTTATGCTATCTGATTATCTCCACATACACTACAGCAGCAGAAATACCACAATGGTTTTAATCCCTTAGCAACTAGGCAATGGGTTGTTCTCATTTTACAGAACTCGGATATGAGGTTGTAATGCACAAAGTAAAACCAAACTTGGAGCAGTTGATTTATGAAGTGAACAGAATGTGCTAGCTGTCAGGTCATGGACAAGTGTTACATGCATCCATAATGCAGCATTGTTACTCTCCCACGATTACTAAATAAATTGCAGTACACTTCAATAAGCATTTTCAACAGCATAATGAGGCAAAACATATTTACATCAGTTTGCATCCCTTTTTAAACTGCAGATTGGCCACTTATCTATCGCCAATCCTCAACCCTCATTTGTTGCTCTATTCAAACTGCAAACCAAATATTGTGAAATATTGTGGTTCTATCCATTAAATACTGACCATGGTTCGTAGCTGTATGATAAAGTGTCTGCAAAACTATATGTTTCCAAACTTTTATTTGACGCCAAGTCAGAGAAACATGTAAAGTCAGAGACCCCGGGATTGATTATTTCAGAGTTTAGAGACCCTGCAAGCCTTAAAAATGGTGGATATAATTCCTGCCCCCATACGCAGTACCTTTCATGTTTTGCTGATGGACGAGAAATTCCTGACCTGGCCAGCTCCTTAATGAGGATTGGCATTTCCCAGCTCCCAGCAATTTTCATGGAGTCAGGCCAGCTTCAGAAGAATCCTGGAGCTGTGAAGCATATTCTAATTTTGAAAGGCAACTTCAAAAAGTTCTTACTCATACTCTCATGCCAGCTCATGGACTCCACCACCCCCACCACCAATATCCATGCCAAGGGCCCTCAAAACTTCCATGGCAACAAATGGCTGCTACCAGTCTGAATGGCCTCTCATACTTTCCATGTGGACTCATAGCAATTTCATGCCCATTCCACCGAGAGCCCAAATTTCCATAAAGGCTTCTCTTTGTTGAACAGGTGTATGGGCAGGAGAATTTTTCTTGATTGATATCTTTTTTTTGTGCCTTATTTTGTCACTGGCTCAATGTTTATTTATGCACCGATAAAGAGGTGCCAAATGGTTCTGGTTTCCATTATTGGTACTTTGAAAGTTTAATTGATTAACTTTACTAAGATTGTTGCAACAGTGGCTTTTCTCCCAAGAAAGTTAGGAATGTCCTTTCTTTAAAGTGCTTCCACATATTTCATAATTGTGATAGGGTCCATTTGTTCATTACAGAGTGCACACGAGATGAATGGTACAAGGATTTGGCATGGATGGGGCACGGGAAATGGTTATGTGAGGGGGAGGAAGTTGATGATTAAGGGTCAAAATTTTTAACAAAACAACTGGGAAAATGTACCAGAAAATCGACCTTTTAAACAGCACTTCCTTGTCACTCTGCACCAAATTTTAAACAACACTTGTGATTTATAACAATGTGCAAAATGCCAAGATACTTAGATTTCATACCATTTGGGTCATTTAAAAAAAATAATCACCACTATTCCACTTTGTTGTCTACCTTAGCTTGCAACTACAATGCATCGGTCAAGTATCCTGTTCCCAGCTTCCTTAAACAGGCATTTAAATTGCCTAAGTGCACACGTGGGATCTTTTCTTTTGACACACTGACACAGCAATCGTCATCCTTAACTGAGAGAAATTAAGACTGCCTATGTATATTCAACATCAACAGCAATATAAGTTGCACTTTATTGTGTCTACAAAATGGATGAAAGCTTAACGTTTGCTTGATATGTTTAGTTCATTTACTTTGTTAACAGACAGGAGAATATAAAGGAAATTTTATCTTATAAAAAAACATTTCTCACCAGGGTTTCCACCATATTTGGTTTGTTGTTCCGAAGTGTCTTTACTCCGTGGAAAACATCAACCACATTTTGTCTTTTGATCATTTCACATATGATATTAATGGCACAGAACATCCCACTACGTCCTCCTCCATTTCTGAAATCAATTCAGAGATAAGTTTTTAAAAACTAAACGAAATTATCATTTTTTTTTCTTGTTCCTTGTTTCACGGATACATCATTTTTGCTTTCCTAAAAAAATGTTCTTAAAAGTTTTTCTAAGATTGATACCTCTGAGTGAAACAAAACAAATAAATATCAAATCTGAATATTTAACAAATTGATGTTTAATTATTTTTACAATCTACTTAGAGCTCAGTCTTAGGTTTTTTTGGTGAAGTCTGAATTATGACAAATTTTTGGAGGGTTATTTGCCACAATGCCTAGCAGATTGTTTTGCTGTATCTTGCTATTAACTGCCTACCATTTCCAACTTCTACCTCAACTTAGCATGCATCTCTCCCAGGAACAAGTCATCACTCAGTGAATATTTGCTGAAAGAACTGCATCCCTTGTGCACACACCATCTTTAAAAGGCCACTGTGTGCCTGGACAAGTTCTGGCAATTTGGCATTGGCCCTCAACTGTCATCTTGAAACACAGCCCCAAAACCATGCTACCCACAGCACACAGGTGGCATGGCTCACACTTCCTCGCACATACAACCCCATTCTGTCCATGGTTACATCCCGTCTAATTAATATCTCCCCAGAGCCCAATGGACACACTCAGATTGTCACTGTCCATGAACATCATATGCAGGCAAACAATGAGACAAATACAAGGACAAATATGGGCTTTTCTTTCAGAAAGTAAAATGAGACAAAATCAAAGCTAACAGAAGCAGCCCCTATAATGCAAACTGAAGTTTGGAATCACACCTGAAGATTATTTTACAGTCACTGATTGTCTGATGTACCCGGTTCTGATCTATTGGAAGTGGGTATCAATGAGGTCCGGTCTGGCTTGTAGCGCCTGACGCGGCTGAGCTCTGTCATGGACAATGAGAGCTTCCTCCTCCCCTGTGTTGTCGATGTCCTCCTGAAAAGGTTGCTCCCATTCTCCCAGTTCCTCAGCATTCAGTACATCGCCTTGTTGCCTGCTCCAGGATGACATGGCACACTCTGTCTGATGGCATCAGCAGACCGGTTCAAGCAGCAGAACTGCATCTTCAGCGGCCCAACTCCCTGTTACACCACAGCCCTGGTTGAGGTCTGGGCAGCAATGTATCAGCCCCTTGCATCAGCCAGGGTGTCGTGCAATAGTGTCATGAGCCATGGTCGCAGTGGGTAGCCCTTGATCACATGACCACATATCACCAGAACATTAATGGAGTGAAAGCTCTTCCTGTTGATGAATTCTGCAGCATTGTGATGTGGCCCTCTCAGCGCCATTTGTGCGCAGTCAGTGGCATTCTGCACCCAGTAAACCCAGCTATGTTCCTGAATGCCAATGAGCAGCACTGCAGCACTGACCTCGCCAATGGGGAGCAAAATAAACCAGTGTGACCTTGTACAGATTGCACTGGTCACTGTCCTGATGTATTTTTGGGTGCACGAGATAGAGATCCTACACATGTCACCTGTCACTCCCTGGAAGGAGCCAGGAGCATGGACTTTCTGCACAGCATACAGTACACAGCCACTGCGAGAGGATGGCATCTCACTCCTAGATGCCTTAGGTCCTGATCCAGCATTCAGCACAGTTCCATCACCGTATCCCAGGGTACATGCAGCCTGCATTGGCACTGTGTCTCATTCATCCCCAAGATAGGGGGTTGGGGTCTGAAAACCCGGGGTCTCCTGCACATCCCACACATCCTGAAGGGCCCCGCGGCTGTGACCTCTCCGAGCTGGGTACTCTTCATCCTCGGCGCTGGCCTGTTGCTGTTCCTACTGGGCCTGGTGTCAGCCCTCCTCCTCCAACTCAGGCAGGCAGCCACAGAGGCCAACGTAACAGCAACAGGACCCACCACTTTCTGTGGAAATTACTCAAATTGAGAACAGAAAGAGCAAAAGCCTCAGTTTAATTATTGATAGCATGTCCTACAGATGAGGCCCAAGGATCCTAATCTACACAGTGAGACATGCTGCACCCTGGTAACGAGGGAAATGTCCCCACTATCCACCCACATTTGGGCTCATCCTGTGTAGCACTGTAGTGGGTGAGTGGCTGCCCAATGTCATTGAGGAGGGAGTGTTTACAATGCTCTGAATCTCACCTAACCCGGGCCCACGTCAAGAACTCAACTTCTCACTGCATTCAGCACAGGCCGGTGTTCACTTAATTGACAGATGAAGAATCAATGTCTTGTGATTCACACACACGGAATCCTCGGAAGTTGGAGCAAAATACTGCAGATACTAAAAACAACAAATGCTAGAGATCTCCCGTGTCAGACAGCATTCATGGAGAGAGAGCAAAGTAACATTTCAAGTCTAGATGAACTGAAGTGAAGTATGGAGGGGGCAGCATTTATGTTATAGTTGGAGGGGTAGTTGTGTGTGTGTTTGTGTTGGTGTTGGCGGTGGTGGTGGGGTGGGGGGTGCTGGGGAGAAAAGAAGTTGATAGGTCAGATTAAGTGATCGGAATGTGAGAATGGCAGAACAATGGTGTGTCTAACTGCTGGACTGGGAAGAGTAGACAGTCCCACTGGGTTGGGGGGAGGGGAGAGAGGACATGGTGACAGAAAATGTAATAAGAAATGGGAGAATGTAATAAGTAAAGCTAAAAGAAAGGGAGGAAACGGGAGAATGTAACAAATAAAGCTAAAAGAAAGGGAGGAAATAGGAGCTGGTTCATAATTTGAAGGTGTTGAACTCAATATTAAGTCCAGAAGGCTTGTAGAGTGCCCTTGTCTGAGAATGAGGTTAAAAACCAAAAGAACGGCGGATGCTGTAAATCAAGAACAAAAACAAAGTTGCTGGAAAAGCTCAGCAGGTCTGGCAGCATCTGTGAAGGAGAAAACAGAGTTAACGTTTCGGGTCCGGTGACCCTTCCTCAGAACTATGAAGATGAGGTTGTTCCTCTAGTTTGCGCTGTGATTCACTGGAACACTGCAGCATACTGAGGACAGACATGTTGGCATGAGAACAGGAAGCTGTGTTAAAATGACCAGCTACAGGATGGTTGAGGTCATGCTCGTGCACAGATCGGAGGCATTCTGCAAAGCAGTCACCCAGCCTGAGTTTTCTTTCTCCAATGTAGAGTAGGCCACATAGGGTGCAGCGAATACAATACACAAGATTAAAGGAGGTACAGGTGAAATGTTGCTTCACCTGGAAAGACTGTTTCGGCCCTTGAATGGTGAGCAGGGAGGATGTGAAGGGCAGGTGTTGCACCTTCGGCGGTTATGTGGGAAGGTGCGGTGGAGAAGAGGTGGCGGAGGTGTTGGTGGTCGTGGACTGGACTAGGGCATTCCTGAAAGACCAATTCCTGCGAAATGCAGACGGGGGAGTGAGGGGAAGATGTGTTTGATGGTGGTGTTCTGTTGGAGTTGTCTGAAATGGTCGAGAGATCTTTTGAAAGCGGAGGCTGGTGGGATGAATAGTGAGGATAAGGGGGTCCCGATCATGATGTTGAGAGTGATGGGAAGGGACAAGGAAGTCCTTGGAAGTTGGACTGGTTCCCCTTCAGCCAGCACTGGTCTTTTGTACAATCATTACAATCACTTCCACAATATTGTGATGCCCAAGTTTAATTTGAAGCCACCAACAATGTGCTACAAATCACCTTTGACCAGCATCTGACCCCTAAATACCCTCACTGTGCACGTATAGCAAATGGGGCAGTGAAATTGTTGCAAATTACAAGGAACTGTGCTTTCCAAATGGCTGCTTCATGTATTGATTATCATAATGTCATTGTATGTAGAAAATTGGTCCTATGCTTTTGCCCCTCAAGTTGACTCTTACTCTGCCCACACTGGGCAATATTCCAGCCATTTTGCAGCAGCACCCTGTACAGAATGGAAAGTGATGATAGGAAATGCAGCTCACGATAAACACTGGTAACTTCGGATCAGGTAATCCCCCACCATATCCCCCAAAACATCCAAAGTCTTTTACCTCACAGTAACCTGACAGCTCCTTTCCACATAGCCCCTCGATGTGGAGAGTGACCACGTTGAAATGTGCTGAAAACTATCTTCCCCAAAACCTGGCATTGCAAATCGATGATACCCCCCACTGCTCCTTCACACTGCCCCTGTGGAGGGCACAGTGGTCAGAGTCAATAATCACACCCCTCTCCCAAAGCCCACCATGCCCTCCAATAATGTGCTGCATACCTTCTCACCTTCACACCGCACCACACGCTCCCCCCACCCCATCACATCCTTTCCCACACTTATATTAATGGCTCCACTTCCCTACCCCAACATCGATTTCCCCCCTACCCTGTCTGGCAGTGATCCTTACAGGAACCCCAATCCCTGAATCCTCCCAAAAGATCAACAGATTGATACCCAGACTGTAATTACCTGAAACGTCTCACTGACCTCAATGAACAGCCCCTAGAAATGTCTGACCAGACCCTTGACCGCAGACTTGACAGCTCCCAGACTGGCTGTATACAAATGACCACTGAACAACCCTTGAACTGTACTGGGACAGTTTCACTGACTGTGACGAAGCCCCTGGTCTGTGTGTGCACTGTGCCTGTGACTGTAGCTAACGGTACCATGGCCCCCTTCCCTCAACTGGTCTGGCAATTAGCCCCAGCCATGTTTCCGATTTGGTTGAATGTATGTGCATGTGTTTGCCACGCAGGCAGCTGGCACATGCTGTAGATTTGAGACTGATGTACTGTTCACCAAGATGCTCCCCGCCACCACATGCACAGTCTTCCAGCCCGATCCCTATGGATAAGCAGCCTGCCTATGTTGCTGTGTGGAAGAGAACCTCAGAATAGCAGGGGTGAATGCCTTTAGCTCTGGCTAATACAACAGGACTGGCAATGGCATGGCATGGGTGGTACAAACATGTAGGCAGCCGCTAATTATGTGTAGGCCAAGAAAGCAAATAGACAGCCGTGAGATGCCGCCTGGTCAAATCTCCGTGCTGTCCCTGGGAATACATTATGCCCCTGCTGCAGCATTTTCAATGCTAGTTGCCTGTATGCCCTGTAATGCAAGTCCATGCTTTCAAAGCCACCTGCCTCTGGATCAGTGAGGTGCCGTGATGGGTTGGCAGAAGCCAGATGCTGATGTCCCTGGATAAAAGATTCTGCGGCTGGTGTCTGGGCATCATGCCCTAAATTTTTTCTTGCCCAGTATCTTAGACACGGATCATTCAAGGCAGGTGGTGAGTCGAATCTCACCACGCCATTTGTGAAAAGCATAAAAATTAACATGAATTGCTCCTGATGTTGAGCCGGGTCTCACTGGATTTCTCATCTGACGCCACCTCAAATCTGGCCATAGCCCACATTGCACAGACCCCTGCAAGGTTCTGTCTACAGTTACAAAGAAATTTTTCATCTGAAAGCTTATTTTTCTTTTTCACCACACTAGTGATCATAGCTCCTCATCCAAATTTGCTGAAGTTATTTTCAATAATTGAAAGGGAAAAAGGGGCAGAATTGGTGCTCAGATAATCACATGTAGATACCTACAGTTAGAAGATGTGAATATGGCCATTTTACAAGGGGACAATAGTTTGGAATTGATACTTTTTGTGATGTCACAATGAGAGCAACTTGTCCATCAAAACTGCTTCGGGCTTTGCGTCCCAAGGTCTCAAAGTTGAGGCAGAGCCATATCAGAACAGGCAAGAGAAGGAAGCAATTCCTGCTATCTGTACCACACCACGTCATGCACTAACATCCTGCCCCATGGATCTATTGAGCTGGAGGTCTGTTCAGTCACTGTGCTGACTTACGATGTTGAGTAGATAGACATCATCCTTAAACCGAGAGACTACTGCCAACAGCTAGGAGCAGCATCCAGTGAGGCACGACCATCCTTGCAGCATCAAAAGTTAAGGGGTGACCTTACCAAAGTTTACAAAAGCATGAGAGGCATGGTCAGGGTGAATTGTCAGCGTAGGGGAGTCCAAAACTAGAGGGCATAGGTTGGAGGTGGGGGTGCTGGTGTGGAGATTTAAAAGGTACCCAAGGGGCAACTTTTTCACACAGAGGGTGGTGTGGTCTGGAATGAGCTGTCAGAGGAGGTGGAAGAGGCTGGTACAATTACAACATTTAAAATGCATCTGGATGGGTAATGAACATTTAGAGGGATATGGGTCAAACACTGGCAAATGGGACGGCAGTAATTTAGGATATCTGGTTGGTATGGATGAGTTGGGCCAAAGGGTCTATTTCCATATTGTACAGTTCTATGACTCTATGTGATGACATGACTGGATAATATAATCATGTGTACTAATCTAGACTGCAGACTGTGTGAACACTGTTGGATACAGATTTGAATGAGTAAATGTGTGACATTTTGATTGGAAATTATCTACAGAAATAGCTGATTGGAACCTTGCCATCAGTAGAAAGAGTCGAAAACCTTTGTTTTTGTAATAAAGCTGAAGTTGTGTGCTATCTTTTAATATGTACATGCCCCATGTATATATGAATAAACATTTAAACAAAGAAACCCAAGTTGAAGGAATAAAGGGTTAAATTCATCCTTTCAATAAATGTTCCTTTAACAGAAGAGACACAAATAAGGTGCTTTAGTGCTTGCACACTGCTGACAACTTATCACAGGCCCCCACACTTAAGGAGAGTTAGACATAAAAAATAGATATCATTACATGTAGATTGAGTTAAAGGCATCTTGTAAATACAAACAGGTACAACAGTGCGAACAAGTGCATTGTCAATAGTAGCTGTATGTACGTAAACATATGGGACCCATATCCATGGTGTATCTTAATTACATTACTTACAGACAGTGAATAATAGTGCGCCCTTCTCCTTCATCACATTCTTCTTGCCACTTATCAACTTGAAGAATTAACTTCAGAAATGATCGCTTTGAGGCAGGTACTTCCCTGTGAGCAGCCCATCCTAAGTACTGGAACTGTTGCACCATGAGATAACCTTCTTGTGGCTGAAGGATTAAACAAAGAACAGACGTGGACATACCAGCTTCAATATAAAAACTAATAACCAGCTGTTATCAACAAGGTTAGTTTTGCTTGTGAGAATAACTAACTGCATTTCTGTACATATCTTTCCAATAAATCATTCTTTCACTGCAGTTTTTGTTAGTGGAATAATGTCTGTCACAAGTTCCTTTTAAAAAAATTCAATTGTGGAGTTGCTGGCAAGGGCTGCATTTATTGTCCATCCTCAAGTGTTTTTGGCCCCCAACACCTTTTCAGTCTGCAGTATATGTGCTGCTGATTGCACATTGTCTTAGTGGTTTGGGTAATCGACTGGCTTTCTCAGCCATGTCCAAAGGTGGTTAAAAATCAACCACCTTGTGTGGGTTGGAACTGACATACCGGCTATTTGGGCAGATTACCCCATTTTAATACTGTCGGCAAACGAAAAAAAAAGATAATGTGGTAGTTTCAAGTTCACTATTACTTTTTACTTGAGCTTGAATTTAAATTTCCCAACAACCATTTGGGTTTTGAACTCGTGTGTCTGGGTAATTAATGGTAGGCCTCCGAACATAAACAATAGCTTTCTCAATATGGGTGGATGGATGGATGGACCCTAACACAGTCTCCTCATCATCCTACAGTAGGTTTACTGCCACAATCACCTTTAAGTGTTGGGATCTACGGGGTCTGCTTGGCCTGTTGTAGAACAGGAAAATCACTTTCTAGTTGAACCAGAAAAGATTCTTGAATTGAACAAGTAGTTGTTTATTGAATGTAAGCATGTAGTTACAACTTACAAGGCTATGATAGGCATTGTTACAGAGTTTAGTTGGATATTAGCTCTTACTCCTTCGAGATCCTAACCTGGATTGTCCACAAATCCATATGACGTTACCATAGTGGATTGTGCTTGTAACACTCCACAGTACTAACCCTTTCAGACCCAACATCCTGCCCCTATATTAGGCACTTTATTACAGTCTACAGAGGGCGAACAAAACTGAGTTAGAAATATAATCCTGATTAAATCCCCAGCTTAACATTTTAAAATAAAAGCTTTTGACTGCCTACATTTTCTTTTAGAATCTAAGTCAGAGTGAGGTACCATATTTCCACACAACTGTTTCTGTAAGGCTGAGCAGACACCTGTTTTCACTAGTTTGCTATATGCTGGAAACTGCACAATGAACAAACCAGAATTTTATTCAGAAATGAATTTGGATGAAAATTAGTGCATAGGTTTGTTGTAAGTTAAACCCACAGTACAACTAATACATACTGTATAAAAGATGAGCATGATTAAAAAAAAAGAGACACACGTGCAAGGGGCAATTCAGATTAGTGGTCACAGTCCAGAAACTGGACCATCCTTCAACAGTTCCAATATGGAGTGGCAGTCAGCACATTTTGAACCAACACATGCAAACAACCATATTGGTTTGGACACCTTGCAGTCAGAGGTCAACGACCGAAAATGACTCCCTTTTTAATAGTTATTCATGGAATGTGGATGTTGCTGGGAGGGTCAGCATTTTTAAATTGATCTCCAGTTGCTCTAAATTAAAGACGGTGCCATGTCGCCTTCTTGGTGCACAATGATTACAGATTCATCCACAGTGCCATTAGATGAGGAGTTCAGGACTTTGACTCATTAACCATGGTGAAACACTGACACACTTCCAAATCAGGATTGCAGAGTTGTAGTTCCCACGTGCTTGCTGAAATCAGTCTTGGCAGTAGAGATTGTGGTTTTCAAAGGTTCTCCAAAGAAGGCTTCAAAGGTTGCTGCTGTGCATTTAACTGATAATGCATGCAGCAGCCACAGTGTACCATCAGTGGTGGGTGTGAATGTTTATGGTGAAGGTGGGCTGCTGATCAAACAGACAACTGAGACTTGCAACTGGTTGAACTTCCTGAATGCCGTTAGAGCTGCACAAATCCAAGTAAGTGGGGGGTATTCCACCACATTCCTAACGTGTATCTTATAGATGGTGAATAGGTCTTGGGAGACAGTAGTGAAGTAGTTGGTACATTATTTCCAGCCTTTGACCTGCAGTTAAAGCCACAGTATATCAGTGGCCCATTGCATATGCATATGAGAATCTTCAGGTTCCTTCATGTGTGATTATGGTACTAATTTTCAAAGTAGAATGGCAGCAGAATCAGTGATCTATAATTAGGCCTTCCGGAAAGAGAGTCATACAGGACCTGAAATGATAATTTTTTTTTTTCCTTTCTCCACAAAAACTACTAGACATGTTAAGTTCCTCAAGAATTTTCATAGTATCCCTACGGTGTGGAAGGAGGCCACTTGGCCTAACAGGTCCACATTGACCCTCTGAAGAGCATCCCACCTAGACGATCCCTTTCATCCTGCGTTTCCCATGGCTAATCCACCTGGTCTACACATCCCTGGACACAATGGAGTAATTTAGCATGGCCAATCCACCTAACCTGCGCATCTTTGGACTGTAGGAGGAAATCGGAGCGCATGAAGGAAACCCACGCAGACATGCAAAGAACTTGCAAACTCCACAAAGACAGTGCTAACCACAGAGCCACCGTGCCGTTCCATTTTCTGTTATGTATAAAAGATCTACTAAAGGCTACCAGCAGAAATGCAGGCAAAACAAGTTTTGTTTTACATTAAACATGTACTTGAATAGATTGCGCTTCCTGGTGCCCCACTAAAAGTGCAAGTCAATGTTAGCCCCTGCTCTCCCCTCTCTTAATCTCCTCCCTTTCAGCCAGGCCATCCAACCAATCCTGACTCTCCGCTGGACTCTCAGCAGGCATCTTATGTGGCTGTCCTCTTCTTCCTAATCAGTGCACAGCCAGCCTATTTCACTATGCCTGGCATGCTAGCAACAAACTGAAAGAAAAGAAAACAACATGTACGATGTGGAAAAGATTAGTCGTAAGCTGGAGGATTAGCAAAGTTTTAAAAGCCAAAAGATTATCAAAGAAAGGGAGAAAAATAACCATTGCGGGTAAATGTATATTTGAATGAAAGTGGGCAGAAAGAGCTTTCTTTTAAATACATTCTTTAAATCTTTACAAAATATCTGAATGACTTGGATGAAGGAAGTGAGTGTGCTATTACCATGATTATTGATGACACAAAAATGGAAAGGAAGGCAAGTGGTGAGGATGACATGAGGAGTCTGCAGAGGAATATATGCGGTTGCGTGAGTGGGCAAAAACTTGGCAGGTGGCATATAATGTGAAGAAATGTGAGGTTCTGTACTTTGGCAGGAAGAATGAGAGGACCTTATTATTTAAATGCAGAAAGATTGCAGAAAGCTGAGCACAGTAGGATTTGGGAGCCCTCAAGCTTGAATCATAAAAGCTAGCATACAAGTTTAGCAGGCAGTCAGGAAGTCTGGCTTTACTTCAAAGGGAATAAAGCATAAATGAAGGGAAGTTTTGCTAAAATTATACAACCCAAAGAATAAAGAAAAAGAATATACAGCACAGGAGCAGGCCCTTTGCCCCATCAAAACTGTGCTGACGCAAGTTGCCATTCTAAATTAAAAACCTTTTGCCTCTACGTCATCCATACCCCTCTATTCCCTGCCTATTCATTTATCTGTCAAGATGCCTCGTAAACATTACTATTTTATCTGCCTCCACCACCACCTCTGGCAGCACATTCGAAGCACTTACCACCCACTGTATTAAAAAAAAACTCGCCTCTCACATCTCCTTTAAACCTACCTCCTTTTACTTTAAACCTATGTACCCTAGTAATTGACATTCCCACCCTGGGAAAAAGACTCTGACTATTCTATCGATATCTCCCATAATTTTGTGAACCTCTATCAGGCCACCCCTCATCCTTCAACTTTTAAGTGAAAACAAACCAAGTTTGTTCAATCTCTCTTCATAGCTAATACTCTCCAGACAAGGCAACATCCTGGTAAACAGTTTTAGTACTCTGTCCAAAGCCTCCATATCCTTCTGGTGGTGTGGTGACCAGAACTCTACACAATATTTCAAATGCAGCCTAACTAAAGTTCTATACAGTTGCAACATTACTTGTCAATTTTTAGAGTTTGTGCTCCAACCGATGAAGGCAAGCATGCTTGTGTGCCTTTTTACCACCTTATCCACTTGTGTTGCCACTTTCAGCAAAGTGTGGACCTGCACGTCTGGATCTCTTTGTATATTGATGCTAGCAAGGGTTCTACCATTTACTGTATACTTCCCTCCTGCATTAGCTCTTCCAAAATACATCACCTCGCATTTGCCTGGATTAAACTCCATCTGCCATTTCAAATGTGGCCTAACTAAAGTTCTATACAGCTACAACATTACTTGCCAAGTCTCCAGTCTGGCTGAAACCTGCAGTGTCGTCTGGCAGCAATAAAATTGGTCTAGAACAGACTTGGCCCCCTTATCTAAGGGAAGATATACAGGCATTGGAGACATTCCAAAGAAGTTTACTGGGAGTTTAGAAAAGTAAGAGTTGACTTTATTGAAACAAACAAGATTCTTAGGTGGGCTTGATAAGGTAGGTGTAGAGAGGTTGCTGCCACTTGTGGGAGAATCTAGGACCAGATGGCAGCGAATCTGTGGAAGATTTTCCTGCTGGACAGCTGTAGAGGTTGGGTGGTTAAGTGTATTCAAGGCTGAGCTCGACAGATTTTAATTCAGTAAGGGAATCAAGCCTATGGGGAAAAGGTAGGAAAGTGGAGTTGAGGATTATCAGATCAGCCATATTCTATTAAAGGGCAGCGCAGACTCGATGGGGCAAATGGCCCACTTCTGCTCTGGTGCCATGATGCCAGAGGGCCAATTTTTTTAAGTGCCTACTTATGCATCAGATTTGCCATGGTGGTTTGTGTTTTCCACTTGTGGTTTAATTTGGGGACAAACCAATTTCTATCAAAAATTGACAATGAAAAATATTTAAATTAGTTCTGTGTTTTTTTAACATTTAAGCAGGATGTGGGTGTCACTGGAAAGGTCAGCATTTTTTACCCATGCATAATTGTTC